CAGACTAGTCAGGTATTGAATATTGTCGGATATAATGTTCGAATCCACCTATTATCCTCTTTTTCTTCTGGTTTTCTTGTCCTGCTGACTAATCTGGACAGTTTTAACAGATAAAACAGACTACCCAGGCAGACAAGAAACGGGAAATATGTATAGACAATTCGGTATTAGACGAAACAAAGGAGATATATATTGAAGACAAAATTTAATCTAATACTATTGTAACATATCATAACAAATGGACCTTATCGAAATTTCATTATTATGGTATTTTTTGCAAAATGATAAAATCTCAGTTATACAGAATTATGAAGAACATAAAAAAAATATATAAATAAAAAAAAAGAAAGATGGGTTCGGTTTAGAATTATCCTTTCATCCATACTCAATTATCACCAATGTGCCTTATGTAAATAAGCAACTTGTCTAAGAAAATCAGCATGACTTGCAAATAATGGAATTTGAGAATCAAGATCTTGCCAAAAAGCATGTGTTGCATCATCACCAGCTTGAACATTGATTAATGCAAGATGTTCATCATTTTCATCGTGAAAATTATATGCTAGAAAAAGACAAAGAATTTTCATTTTTGATATTCAAATCGATACGAGTAGGATATAAATTTCGGTCTTCTATTCATGCACACTTACATCCCGAAATCATACTCAATTTATTTTTAATATTCTTACCTGTTGTTTCCATCCAACTATTATCAGTATTTCTAAATAAACCAATAGAAAATTAATTATAAATAACATTCTATACCTTGGATCATCAACATAACCACAATAAATTTTTGTACCACCATTTTCAAAAATATTTTTTACTGCTTTTATCAATTTTTCTTTATTATATTCATCTAAATTAGGAAAATTAAGTACTTCTTCATGAAATTCACGTTGTAATGTATCAGTAATTTTTTCTTTTTTATCAACCATACCACCTGGTAAAGCATATTCATTTGTATCTTTTCGAAGTATACAAACAAATTGTAATATTCCTTTTTTAGTAGCTGAATGAAAAATTTTTC